CCAACCAACCAGCCAGCCAGCCAGCCAGCCAGCCAGCCAACCAACCAACCAACCAACCAACCAACCAACCAACCAACCAACCAACCAACCAACCAACCAACCAACCAACCAATGCATAAATGAGTCAGAACCAAATAAACCAGCACAACGACTGAAATTTCATTGTACAAATTCTACACTGCGACAATTCTGAGTCATCAGACCATGTAACATTGTCCCTATTCTGTTTTTGTTGTGCAATAGTAGTACACATGTATTTTCAAACGGCTTTATGCCTACATTGAGAAAAATCAAGTGTTGTTAGACGTCTCGGCCTGATACAGCGACAGCTTTGGAGAATCAGGTTGACAACCTTTGACCTACCACCTAGGGTCATATAGAGGTCACCTTCCATGTGTGACGGGTATGTCATAATTTTCATGTTGCGCAACTTACATGCCGTGTTACAGTCTACACGAAAAACGCACGTGCAAACTGGCTCAAGCTGTGATTTTCTGATCTCCAAAACATCGTACGGAGAAGAGAACAGGGCTTTTCTGTTGTCACATATATTTTAAAAAGGTACCAAAAGGTAAGTGCTTGTTGACTCAAGGTTGGGGAGGGGGGTAGCAGTGGCGACTCGGTAATCCTTTTCGTAGAATAAATACCATGGAGGTAGAAACACATCTTTTAACTCCAAGATAATACAGGATATCCTGCAGGATAATACAGGATATCCTGTATTATAATACAAAAAAGATTACCGAGTCGCCACGGCTAGGGAGGTGTGTGTGTATTAATAATATTAGTATTATAGTTATCATGTTTACCATCTAGATCGACGCAGATTTGATTGGTTTGGTTGTAGTGGCAATGTTTTTTTTTTGTGTGCACTGTTAACGTAGTGTGCCATAGTCTGAATATATTATTTTTTGCAAAGGGAAAGCTTTAAGGTCAGTGATTTTGCAAAAAAGGAGATTTTTGACAGGTGGAAAAGTCTGTAAATTATGAAGTTATAACTTATAACTATAATAAGTAAACTTTTCTAGAAGCATTGAGAATATCTAGTGCCAACAAATCCAGGTTAAATTACAGTCAAATTCACTTACTACAATAGGACCTCTAGATATAAATAAAGATATATAAAATAAATATAGATAAAATCACTGACCTTAAAGCTTTCCCTAAATATAAAGTTAAACATTTACATGTACTACATTTTCAAGTGTGTTACTGTAACAGTTATGTACTAGTAGTAGACTTTGGACTTAAGACTTAACTTTGTATGTTGTGAAGCGAGCCATGCTGTTTGTTTTATTTGCTCCGCAAAGTCATAGTTTTCTGAGACTGACTGACAGTATCGTATACGGTGACTGTTCACTCTGAATGTTTTACAGGCAATTCAGGAAACTTTCACGGCAAAGCTACATTTGTACAAGATCCAAACTAAGCGTGACTTCCAGAGAACCCACTGAACAGTCACAACAACCACCATGTTCTCAACCCTTCTGGCGGCGGCCATTTTGTTCTTCACTGATGACCTTGCCGCAGCCAAGGTCGTTGTGGAGTCAGACATCCCCTGTAAGCCTTTCCACGAGATTTACGCGTCTGGGCGGGAGCTTTGCGAGAAAATGTGGGACGGTTCTTTCGTTTACGAGACGAATCGATCGCGAGCATACACCATGTGGTTCTTCGACAAGGACAATCCGAACGACGAGGTTACTCGGAACCTTGGACTGAGCCCACCCTCCGTATGTCACCTGAGATATCTGCATAAGGTAAATATCAGTACAGGCAGTACTGTATTATATCACAGTTTGTTTCGTTTTGTAAGCATGCAATTATCTGCACTTTCGCACCTCTGAATTATATAAGGTTAGTACTAGCTGTCTTCCATGCATCTAATTACTAGTACATGATTTGAGCTCTCGCGCAAATACTTAGTAGTCGCTGGTGTAGGAAATTATGCTGTTTGTGGCTAGACACAGAAAACTAGGTTGTGAGTGTGACACAAAGAAAAGAAAAGCTAATAAAGCATTTAGAATGCCACCTCTGGATTAATCCTGGAAAGATTGGTCCTGTTGTATGGAGGACACTGTGCCGTGTGTACAGAAACTAAAGAAAAGTTATATACCTTTGTGTAATGCATATGGTTTTTAATCTTTTTCCCCCATCAGGATACCCCAGGCCCAGAACCAGACACGTTTTCTGAATGCCACCCCTGAAAGGATTGGTCCTGTTGTACTGAGGACACCGTATCCAGTGTACAGAAACTAAAGAAAAGTTACAGAGCAGAGTTTAAATTAATGGTTTTTAACCCTCAACAGTACACCTTCCCTTACTGATTAATCTGTACACCTGGGGTCCGCGCGGACCCCAGAGCAGTATTTTGCTAATTTTTAGAAATTATCAACATGCTACCAGCTCAATTGTTTTGCAAACTGATGTGGGAACCTCTGTGTCCACATTACATACAAAAATCATACATTTTGAACTTTTTCTATTTTTTGGTGAAGAAAAGAAGACAAGAAGAAATACCCGATTTTTAAACCCATTTCAGACTGAAGGGGCTTTTGAGGCCCAACTTTGATCTCAGATAGCGGCTAAATGGCTTGCGCTAGAAGTATCAAATTTGGAGACCTTTCCTAAAATGTCTCTGGCAAAAAGTTCATATTAGTTTAATACTAGTAAGTTGATGTTTTTTTGTGTTGCCATGGCAACGGGTAGTTTTTTTGAAAATAGAAGTAATTTTGGTTTAAACATAAAAATTTTCTGAGTTTTATATAAAATTACACTTCTTTTCCAACATTAATAACATCTTACATAATTAAATATAAGTTAAATCATTTAATATACATAGAATATGCTAATTTGATGACGTCATTGGTCAAAATCCAATATGGCGGACTATATTATTAGCTCTGACGTCATATGACGTCATAATTACACCAAAGTTATTAAAATTTAATTCTATTACTACACCATTCTCTGAAAACTTAGTAGACATACGATGAATGCATAAAAACATATAAAAACGGAAATAAGGTAATGTATAAGAACGCCAGTGTATCCATTATGATCGAAAGCCGGCTGGGGTCCGCGCGGACCCCAAAAGAAAATCAGATATAATTTTTTTATAAATGGTAGAAACGGAGTTTTCTGCACTGTATTGAGAGACAACTTTGTGGGTGACAATTACCTAAAATTTCAGAAAAAAATCTTTAGAAACAAAAAAGATATTACAGAGTATATAGTGCTGGGGTCCGCGCGGACCCCAGGTGTACTGTTTAGGGTTAATGGTTAAATACTAGTAGCATTGACAACATATTCTTTCTTATAGGATACCCCAGGCCCAGAACCAGACACCTTTTCTGAATGCCACCCCTGGAAAGATCACTCCTGTTGCACAGAAGACACCGTGTCCAGTGTACAGAAGCTGAAAGAGAGTTACGGTCCTGAGTGGCACTGGGACAGGTGTGGCCCCCTCACCCCGGCCTGCGAACGGTTCTTTGTGCAGGAGGCATGTTTCTACGAGTGTGAGCCCAACGCTGGTAAGGAGACAGTTCTGGTGCGCTCAGACTTCATTAGGCTAATAGCAATGCAAGAAATATTCTGTCTGATAACATTAACTGCCCTTTCACTTACTCACTCACTATCCGGTTATTGTCTGTTGCTCCCCAACTTCTGAAGGTTAGACGTGCTTGCACAGCAATACTGCGGCTTGATGACAGCCCACCACTTGCCTCTGTCCTGTGGGTTGACATTATGTAGTTTTTTTAGCACATATTCATCATCTTGTGAAAAATGTCTGTTTCCAAAATCATATAGCCAGTTGCTTGAGTAACTGTATTTTTGCATACCTTTTTACCTAGATGTCTAACCTTCACCTATGTAGTAACTGTAATAACTGTATACAACATACAACTGTAATTTGTTTGTTTGTTTGTGTTTGTTTGTTTTCTGGCAGGTTTGTTCCGTAAGTACCCAGACAGCGACTACAACTCCTCAGACCCGAGCCACAACCGCTGGCAGATGTCAGGCATGCCGATCTGGTCTGACTTCTGTGATGCGTGGCATCGCGCCTGCCACAACGATAAATTCTGCGCCCACGACGACGGAAATTTCTTCTCCTGTGCAGCGAAATATCAAGAAACGGCCACAACCGGTCCCACCGAGGGTCTGACTGTGGGGATCGTGTTCGGCTGCTTGATTATCGTGGCTCTTATAGGGGTTCTTGGGTTCCTGGTTTATAGAGAAAGAACTGGTCAGCCTATGTTTAAACCACTAGAACAACAGGTGTCATAAACTATACTAATTTGTTAGTTTTCAATTTACAGAAAAGCTGATCTAATAAAAAAATAAATTGATATGGTCTAAAATATCTAAGATACGGTTGGCTAGTTATAAGGACTATATAAAATAAAAATGAGGAATTTTTATATCTAAGATATAGGTGGCTAGGGGAAATATCCAACATATAGTTGGCTAAATGGCAAAGTAACATGACATATGTTACTCAGGAATTTATGTTTTTTATAGAGGTGTCTTCAAATGACTCCTTTCAGTAAGGCAATAATCTCAACTATGTATAAACTTGGTTTTGATGATGTTTAGTATCAACTGTACTAACATGTAACAAATGTTGTCATCATTTTTTTTTACAAGTGAGATGTACTGTATATTTTGAAGGGACAAAAAAAATGAGAAAATTGGTTGACATATATTTAATATATTTTTTCCTTTAAAGGTAGCTGGACTGTTGTTTAAGTTGGATATGCAGTTTTTTTAAGTTTGCAACTTTGATAAAATTTTATAGTAGCGTTATATGCATTTTGTACTAGTTATTAAAGTATGTGTTGAACTGTTTTTTTTTTATTAGTTTCATACTTTATCTCTAATCATGTTTCTGTAGCCAAAAGAAATGCTAGGCTATGATGATATATTTTGACCTGGTCATCAGATCATGTGTGTGTAATGTCTTCATATCCCCACCAGAATGATAACACACAGCATTTGGGATACAATGTTATCTGGACTGTATTTTTATGTAATTATGATGATAGTGGCAACATATTTTAATGTAAAAGCCATGGACAGAAAATGCCTGTTATATATCTAGGGCACACTACTAGTCTTCCTGTGTTTACATTGTATGTGTGGACGTGCTTCCTCTGTGATATATCCAGATGCTTCTTACGTACCTCAAATACTATCTGTAACTGGAGCAAAATGATGAACAAAATGTATTCATGTATTATGGAGAAATATGGGTACTATTATGGCAATACAGCAGGAGAGTTTATCTGTAACTGTCAACAGTGTAACTGTCATAAAAGATAAAGCCAGAATGACATTGTCTGTAACTCTGCTTTATTCCAGTGTATATGGATTAAACCATGATTTATAAATACATGTACATAGCTTTGTTGTTTTTTTCTTCTGAAGTCTACCTCATCACACTCACAGTTAAGCAGGATTTTAGCAGGTTCATCTACTAAAAACTAAAATAATTCTGACACTATCTATCAGATAATGCTGTTTCTTTTTCTCTGTCTCCAGTTTCTGTTGCAGCCCTGTCCCCACCAAGTTGTGTTCTTTCACCTATTCTATCATCACTGTCCTCTACATGACTTTCTACTTGCTTTGATGTCTCTGTAATGTTTTCTACATCTTCTACCATCTCCACATCTCCAGTGCCTTGACTAGTCCTCTCAGTCCTGTTGGGTTCTTGTCTCCCCTCTGTTGTAGCCCCTTTGCTGGCTGCCTTGTCAGGTTTGACATGTAGTGTACAGGAGGAGGCTATCTTCAAGGCTCGTCTGTGATGCGGGGTGTCTTCACGTAGAAAAGACATGGAGTCTGTGTCATCATTTTTACTGGTCAGGAAAGACCTGGAGAGACAACATGTGAAAAGGAGGGGAGGTAAAAAAAAGGGCCACCTACTTTGGCTTCACACAGAAATTCTTTCTTCATCTGCTGAAAAGACGGAAGTGAATTGTGAACTATGACTTATGAAGTTATGTCACTTTGAATGAAAGAATTTTAAACTCAGGATTAATAGATGTGAGCACAACTTCAACATATTCCTAACCAAAAAATTAAGATTTGTGCTGCATGCATTTGTTCTCTAGAACGGGTATTCGGGGGCATTCACTAATTATAATATATAAGAAGAATTTGGTTCCGAGCAAGAGAGAGTTTTCCTACTCTCCAAACAGAGGTCTGGGTTTTGGCTTATTTCTAGTGTTTAGGCTATTTTATCAGGCTTTCCTTATTGCCCTGTTTTTTTTTTATTATGCTAACCCCAAAAAAGCCTAAAAACATGCCAGCAATAAGCCAAAACCCAAACCCCTGCTTGGAGAGGGCCCCACTGCTTAGCCACTGAGAGGGCCACTCTGGCTAAAGAAAACAGAATAAACAAAGTATTAAAAAAAGAGTGATTTTTTTCCCTACCGTGTCATGGTGAGTTTCTTGGCGGTGTGGCACATGTAGGTCTGCTGGTCCTCCTCCTCCTGACTCCCCTCCTCAAACATCACACAGGTCCCCACAGCATCCTCATAGGAGCCTGTGAAGATGTACCTGAGGAGGAAGATGACATTAACATCTTACCTTGAAAGTTCATCTGTGTTGGTAGCTAAGTCATTATGAAACAAGTTTGAACTGTAATTTCTAACACAAGAAATTGGACTCACCCAAATTTTCGACTGTACAACTCCAGTCTTTCTCAAGGAATGAGCAATCCACCGCTTCCGTGACATCGTGCAGATAACACACGTGACACGTGACATGGCCATCTACATCAGGGCATTTCAACCATCCCTCAACAGAGACGGGGGGCGCCACAGACTTTCTGCAACCTATGATCCACTGCTCACGGAGTCACATGTATTATCTGCGTGACGTCACAGAAGCGGTGGATTGCTCATTCCTTGACAAAGACTGGAGATGTACAGTCAAAATTCTGGTAAGTCCAATTTTATGTATTGGATATTACAGTTAAAACTTGCTTCATACATTAACATCTTGTTTCTACAAAATTATGTAGAAAAGTGAAAGTTCTTCTGAAATATGTTCCTTGAAGTTAAATGTTGTCATTGTACTCAGACTGTAACTGTGTCAAATTATACATGTCATAGATCTAAGTGAATACATTATCTATCATCTAATAGATCTATTGACAACATATCAATGTTATTGAATCGATACTGATCGATACCCGCTATCCCGCTCCTACCTGTCTATCTGTAGTACCGGCTGTTCACTGTCGATGCCCACAAACTTGCACTGTCCGGACCCGGTCCTTAAAAACTCCGTATCCATGATTCCTGTCAGCTCCACAAGCACCAGGGACTCATCCTCGATTTCCTCGTACTCTTCTTCTCCTGCCTCGTCCTGTTTTTGTGCCATTATCGTCCTTTTCGCGCCCTTTTTTTGCTTGGAAAAATGTTTTTTTTACCGTCTCCCGCGCTAGCACATGTAGGTCATAGGTCAAATATTCAGTACCCCGAATATCCTACCGTAAGCCAATGGCTGCTCAGATTTGGAACAACCAATGAGAAGAGAGAAAGAAAACATTTTGACCAATCCAAAGCCAGGAAGTCGGAGCATGTTGGATTACATTACCAAGATGGCGCCGGCGGGCAGCGTTCTTGGATACCGGACACAACATTGATTTTGAGGTAAAATTTTGTCATTTTCCCCACAATATTATGTGACATTAAGTTACGGAACTGTTAATAACATTGTTAGGAGTCGTTTGTTTGTAATAACAAGGTAAAGAATGTCCTGTGGATTGAGTTAGACTGTCCGACAGGACCAAAACAGAGTTGTGCAACCAGTGTTTATGACATAATATCTACCCCCCCCCTTATTTGGAGATTCCATACTGGGCAATAGTTAAGAAAATATCGATAAAACTACTGATTTGAGTATTTGCGTACTTTCATAATGATATTCCAGTTAATGATGGTAATGATATTTGATCAGGTATGTTGGATGTATATTTTGTTTTCATGTAATTTGAGTCTTGACTGTAGACTCTACTTATAGTCATACATGTGTTAAAGATTAAGTAATATCAAGGAGTTTTAATAGATTTAATCTATTTAAACCTCGTTGGTGATATCCCAAGATGTCAATGATATGATATTGACATAAAATTGCCTAATAACTCAACAGTGTTTTTATTCATGAAAAAATAGAAGTTTTTCCTTGCTGCATCGAAATATGTCATTAATATTTCGGGCAAAAATAAAAAGTTGGTTCGGGCAAGTGGAAATGACCATGTACTAGGGCAAGTGGATTTTTGAAAACTTGTTAAACATCCAACCCTGGATAATTGTAATTTTTCCATCCCTAACATCCAGACCAGGCTGCTGAAAAACTGAAGATCAGAGATGGGGAAGAAGAAGAAGGGAGGAGGAAAGAAGGGGAAGAAGGGAAAGAAGAAGTCAGGAAAGGGAGGAGGAGAAGAGAACATGACACTTCGAGAGGCCATCCTGGCATTCCAGTAAGAATTATTGTCATTGGTGTATTTGATATATGTTAAGTATGTTAAGAGGTCGCGTGGCATAACAGCGGAGCATTCAGCTCAGAACCAAGAGGTTCCGGGTTTGAATCCTGCCAAGTCACCGATCTTGTGCCCTTGGAAAAGGTTTTACACGACTTTCTCATCATTTTGCTCTGGTGAAAATGAGTATGCCAGAATGATTATTTTCATGATCATGGGTACCAAAGGAGAACCAAGAAAAACAACCTATATGTTTGTGTGTTTGTAGTGTGTACTTGATGTCTTCATCATTAAAGATTGTTGTTGAATTCACACGCTAATGATGATAAAGCCTTGGATAAAAAATTACAAATGTATAAATGTGTTTCCGGTGGCCCGACTGAATCAAGCAAAAACTGCTGACACCAGCCTTGCTTTGTTTCATGGAGTTATCTCCTTATAACTCCATGTTTGTTTGTTGATCACTGCCAAGGGACATAAAGTTTACTATTTTAAACTGTCCTGTTACAGGATTGAGGTGAAAAACAAGGCTGTGGAAGAGTTTGTAGCAGAAATCAACGGTCTGGAGGACAAAAACAGACGCCACAAAGAAAGGGTGAGTGTCGAGAGACTTCAGATGGTTCAATACTGAACCAGTACTTCTGATGTATACAATGTAATTACATGCAATATTACAAGGGGAATTTGGAAAAGCGTAAAAGATACCTCATCAGCCTCCATCTGTCTCGGTAGATGATGGGCCCGGAACCTTCTTTGGTGGCTGAACAAGCAGGTCTTTGAGTGACAGGCTAAGAACCCAACACACGTTAAAGAACCCACCACTGTGACTTATCGAAAAGAGTAGGGGACCTCCCGGTGTGTGTGTGGTTCAAACCTTACAGTCCTATGGCCACACCTGGGGTCGTATTGAGATCACCTGAGTTAGCACCGAATGGCAGCTGCTCCAGACCCTTGCGATTAACTTAAGCCCCAATAATTGTAAGGAGTGTAGCCAGCCCACCAAATAACAAAAAAATAACCTTTTTCCCCCAGAATAACCGTCTTAAGGATGAGCAGGCCCTGCACATCCGCACCCTCCTTAAGCAGGCTAAGGAGAGAGATAAGGAGCTGGAGCAGGAGACGGTGGTCGGCAGGGAGAAGGTGGACTCTACCATGAAGGACAAGTGGAAGGCCATCAGGAACGAGGACAAGTCTGTGGAAGGTGGGATAATTCTTTATTCTTTAGTTCAGGCATCCATACTATGAGTAGTAGTACAGACAGACCCAGAGTGAGACATTGTGGAAGAATTTCTTGCAGATGATAACATTGGATTTGAGAACAGATTTTTGGATGATGTTATTTGAGGAGTTATACAGACGGGATATGAAAGAATAACATTGTTTGCACCATGAGTGAGAAAGGTGTCTGTCCTTTTTGGTAAACAAACATTGCACTGGCACTGCAAAATCTGGGTAATGACATTATAGTGCACAAACAGTTGTCGTAGGCAATTTTACACTTTGGTGCAACTCTAGTGCTAGCGAGTCCCATAACTGTGAGGCAAAAAGTTGAGAGTCTCCTTACTGTTTGTCCTCAGACCTTAAGACAGAGATAGAGGAGAGAGAGAAGGAGTTAGCAGACCAGACGAAGGTAGTTGAGTACTGGAGGAAGTACCGGGACGAGGGACAACATGAACACGCCAAACAGATCAGACTGCTGGAGCAGGAGCTACAGGACATGCAGGTAACAATAATCAATCAATCAATCAATCAATCAATCAATCGATCAGTCAATCAATTGATCAATCAATCAATCAACAAACTACTGGAGCAAGAGCTACAGCAGAACATGCAGGTATCATAAATAAATTAATAAATTGATATATCAAATGATCAATCAACGATTTTTTGTCCTAAAGTGCCCAATCTACATGTGCATGCTCCTCTTCCTAGAGGTCTAGTGGATATTGTTGGGTTTCACAATAGTGCTGATATTTGGCTTGGTATATGTACATGTATCTGTATGTACATGTACTGTTGTTTTGTCTCCAGGTGAATTTTGATGAGATGGCGAGTCACCTCCAGCGGTCCTTAGACCTGGCCAAAGAGAAGATCTCCAACTACATGGACCTGACCTTACAGCAGCAGAGGGAGAATGCCTCCGAGGTGAGACAGTCTGGATATGTCCAGGGAGCTACAGAGACTGCTCTGTTGTAAAAAATGTTTGTGGGAGATCAACATGTGGTGTTGTGTGGCATGATGGTAGAGTGCTCGACTCGTAACCAAGAGGTCCCGGGTTCGAGTCATGCTTGACATTCCTGGATATAGTCAGATACAGGATTTTCTCACAGACAACTGTTTTCATTGCTGACTTTTTGCTTTGAAATGTCTGAGATTCTAGGAAAGAAATCAGTGTGTCCTTCTGTAAAAGATACTAATTGTTCTTTCTTTGAATATTTCTGTAAGAGGTCTTGACTATATGACATTTGTGTATCCTTGCAGAGAGCCATGACCCACCTGGACAAACACAGTGCTCAGGAGGTCAAGGATAATGACTGGCTGAAGCATGAGGTAGGTTTCTTTTAGTAGTAATGATGATGATTGATGATCATTGGCAGTAGTTTGTGGTCTAAGCATTTGTGTCCATGTCAGAGTCCCCTCAGTTTGTAGGATGATGATGTTGCAAGTGGCTGCTCAAGCCTAGAGCAGTGTGGAATTCGAATAATTGGTGACACTTTGTACAGGACAAGGTGAGTGGTGAAGGAATGTAGTCTCCACCTTTGCAGGCTGAATAGATAGTAGAAATTGGCCTAAAAAGAGGATTTAATTGGCCAGAGGAGTTGGCCAGTCAGAGAGGGTTCATTTACCGGCAACTTCTCTGGCCAATTATATCCCCTTTTTAGGCCGATTCTACTTGTATTTATTAAGCCTGCAAAGGAGTCGTGTGGAGACTAAAGTAAAGGAATGATAGACTGTAGGTTTTGTAGGCTTAATAGAATCAAATTTCTGTGACTAACAGATCTTGCAGATTGCCCATAATGATTTCGATACCTTTACTTCCAGGCTGAGCTCCACAGAGAGGAGGTGCGAACCCTGCGGAAGTTTGTGGAAGTTCTGGAGAAGGAAAACCTGACCATTCTCAGTCAGCTGTTCGAGTGCAGGATAGAGGACCTGAAAATATCCAGGTGGGTTGGAAACAGTCAAGTAGTCAATAGTTTGTACTTATAAACCTGCTTTTCTGACAAGTCTCCATCTGGCTACCCTACCTACCACTCCACCGCATGTCAGCTACTGCTGAGGCGGGCCATCATTGATTTCCATCTTCCTCTATCTTGTGCTGCTCGTTGCGCCCCCTCCCATTCGCAACCCATCACTGCAAGGTCTCTTTCCACTGTTCTTCTCCACGTCATACTTTACGCGCCCCTCTTCCTTTTTCCTTGTGGACACCACGTTAACACCACTTTTGGCAGTCTTTGCCTTGGCATTCTAGATACGTGGCCTAGCCACCTCAGCCTTGCTCTTTGTACTAGCTTAGAGAGCTTTGGCTGACCTGTCCGACGCCTGATCTCGTCATTGCTAGTGTGTTGTTGCCACCTGACTTTCAATATGGCCCGAAGCCATCTCTGATTCGCAACGTCCAACCGTTTTTCCTGATTGGAGGTCATTTGCTACATCTGGCTACATCACACCAAACGACTTGTTACACCTAACCTTTGAACATCTACAATGTTAACTGTAAGCATTGTTTAAAGCTATCTAGTGATGATACCCCTACTGTACTTGGTGGCAGTGAGTTTCACTCCATGACAGTTCTAGGAAGAAAACAAAGACTTAAAGTGTTTAAAGTTCAAACTTTTGATCCAACACAAAAAAGTTCTCTCACCTAGAGCTTTCAACCAGTCACTCTGGTCTTCCTCAGACTACATTTTGTACAAGCGGTTGAATGCCTCAATACTTCTAAAATAATGAAACTGTTCTTACCAATTGTTTGTCGTGTAGGAACTTCTACCTGACCCAGTTCAGTGACAGCGATGCGTTAGACGACCAGACAGGGATGCTGGAGATGGACCTGGCACAGCTGGCCATCGGGAAAACTCCTGTGGACAAACTCAGGCCAGACTACGGCAGTGAGTCAACCAGCTCCGCAGGTTAGGAAAAAATACTATAATTATAATAATAATAACTGTTATTAACTATGAACTGGAATCATTGTTAAGCCATATCAATGTACCTTACCGGATTATCCAGAGGCAACATAATAAGCCAAGTCAGTTTATGTTTGTCATTTTACAGTCCAATCCATTGTCATTTGTCTCTTTGCTATGTCTCTTAAATAGTTTAGTATGTGAGACTCTAGTCTGATGTTGTGACTCAGATACAGCTTCTCTCTTTCTCTCTCTATTGTAGTTCATTTTCTTGAGCAGTGATGTCTGACTAATTTTATTGTCTCCTTTGATTCTGTGTCATTACCCAGGCTCAGACAGAAGGTCCCGACCACGTAGTGCTGTAGTCAGGGCTGTGGAGGAGAGAGTGTTCGCTATCAAGGCTCGAGGAGAGGAGGGGGAGTCTGACTCATCTGAGGAAGAGGAGGAGGAAGGGGAGGAGGTCTTCGCTGAACACACAGACGGGAGGGACATGGACGTCTTAGACAACTACCTGTTCTTTGAGGAGGAGGATTTTGAGGTACTTGAAGTTAATTGCTTTTCCTGATTTAAAGCCTTTGTTGCCTTCTATAGATTCTTTAATGTCTACCCATATACAACATGTATAGAAATACTGTTTTTGGATTGTGTGTTTGGCCGTGTATGTGCAAGTGTGTGTTTGTCTGTTATTCTATGTATGTAGATGTACACATGTGTGTATGTAATGTGTGTGTGAGTGTGTGTGTGCATGTGTGTCTTTCTCTGTGTATGTGTGTGTGTTTGTGTGTGTGTTTTTGAAGTTTACAATCTACACAACTGAGTGTTGCCATATATCCTCAGTCCTGCTAATTTTTTTCTGTTAGACTGCAAGGGTCCCCCAACCAGTATGGGTAAGGGGGCGAAGCCTGCCATCTCTGATTGCCATGTTATTTCTCCTGCAGGACTACCTACAGCTTGGTCCTTTGGAACTGAAGCTGCTGAATGTGACAGGCACTAAGAAACCCCTGCACCGGCCAGCTAAGCCCAGCCAGGAGGACATAGCATCCGGGCTGACCGCCACGCCGGCTAGTCAGAAACGCTGGCCGGTCACACAGGAGATGATGCAAACTGTTCTGTCTGAATAAACGTGTCGGTAGTAACAAACCTTTGGTACACCCAAGGACGTTGTTTTAGCTCCTTGGTACACCCTACATGTAAGGAATGTCTTTTATTGTTAGGGTTACATAGAGGTTGTCATGAAGGCTATTCTAGAATGAAAGAACACTTGTTGTACATGTTAGTCTTTAAAATTGATCTCAACTTGGATTCTTAATATGAGTCACCCTTCTTAAAAGGTTCATTATGGCCATTGAGTGAGTTAAGCAAGTACAAAATTGTAAATAGAAACACTATTCTGTACACCTCTTAGCTGTAATAAAAAAAAGATCAGACAGCTATGTCTTTTATTCTTGTTCAGATTTAAAGGTAGGAATTTCTGGTTGTGAATATTGAAGTAAAAGTTGTAAATGCCCTATAGTATCAAAACACAGAGAATTACTTCACACATATAGAAGCCTTACAAAACTTATGTATATAGTAGATTACTGTATGACATTGTATATTTTATCAGTCACACTTCATTTGTAAATCACAGATTTCAGTATGTTTTTTTCAGGTGAAGGTTTTGTGGAAACTAGGAAAGCCATTGTCATTAAAGCTTACACTTAAACATTTCACATTTGCCATCTTCTCCATGTATTTCTTGTTGGATCTGATCTTATCTAGCCATTTTGATATTTTTCATCTTTTAAGTTTGATTCTGCTCCTCACTTTCTAATACTGTACAACTATATGCAAGTACTAGAGATACATTTACAGCATGTACTGTATACTAGTATGTAGAAGTTATCAGGTTCAGTACCATTGATACCTCATAGGTGGCGCTGCTATACCGTAAACACCATCGGTTTTCTGCAAGCTATCTGGCCAATAAACGATACTTTTGAGGGGATACGACGTAGACAGAACAAACCGTATGGCATGTGACGTTTACCACAGAAGTATCTATTCTTTCTGGACATGTCCCGACCCACAACCAGCCCTAGTCATTCTGCAAAGCTCACACACAAAGCTTCCATTGTTTGCTGAGTACCAGCACGTGTACATTGTTTCTTAAGTAGCGTCCTTGTACTTTCACCTGCACATGTTTACATGCACGTGTACCACAGTTCGTTGTCCCTAAGCGCCTCTGTGCTTTCACCTGCACATGATTAAAAGCACAGCTACCTCCATAGTTCATTGTTCTTCAGCCTCCTTGTACTTTCATCTGCACGTGATGACAGGACGCAAAACAAAATCTAAAATCGACCAAATTTTATTATCAGACAAATCTCGATAACGTCGTAGGTTGACGTCAAGCCCTTAAGAACAATGTAGAAATGTCAGAGCGCAAATAGTTTTCATGTATATAATTTGTGCATTTCTGATTCTTCTGCATATTTTTAAACAATCGTAATGTACAAAAATGCGTTTTAGTGGTACATGTATTCCTACGATTCATTTAGTTGGTTTTTAGTACTATAGTACTATTGCTTTATCCACTATATACAATATATACAAGATCTACAATCCGTGCATTTTATTTCTTCTACTTGTAATATTTTCTCACTATCGCTTGCTAGCACCCCAATGATTCTATTGTAACAGTTGTGTTTCTATGATAGGCTCTACGTACCAAATATGTGTTTCTGACTTTGTAACATTTCATTTTGTTGGTTTTTAGTAGTGTACTTCTGTATCCAGACAACCTCCATACGTACACATGTGCATTAACCTGTACATAATGACCACTGACTGACGTAGTGAGGTGTAACATGATACACCACCGACCCCGACCTTTTACACCAGCCGACCAATCAGCGCGCTTCGCGGGGATGACGTCACACCCTTTATTAAATTTCGCCGGTTCCTTTCTCTTGCTGTGGCGCTTCTGACGTGGAAAAAGAAAGATGTCTACTGCATTGCACGAAAACAGTTCTACCGGTAAAACACCAGAGTTCTAAACGCTGCCATCCTACTATACAGACTGGTACGGTTCTGTCTTGACCTCTGCGACTGGGATTTGCCCTTGAACTATCGCGTCTTGTCCTTAAAGAAGCTCCAAACCTTAAGAAGCAAGCATGACCGCCCCCCTTGGTAGCGCTAGGATGTTTTATTCCGTGGACGAATTTCCAGAACCGGTCCCGACTACAATCAAAGGTACGTGTATTTTAACGCTTCGATCTGTATTTTTAGCCACGGATGTTTTCGTTATAGAATGCAGCAGGGTTTTTGTTGCCGCTATATTAAAATATGGAAGCGGAGGGTTGGGTTACAATCGAAGCCTAGACGGTCGTCTGCCAAGGTCAATGAGTTCAAACCGCAGAATAGACAACAAACATTCTACCAGTTTTATTTTGTGCTTTGACAAATTCTGCTGCGTTTCACTAGTAAGGGATATTTTCATTCCGTATTGTCTGTATTTTTATGTAAATATTTGCCGGTAACGCACACGCCAGCTGTTTAATGCAGGAGTCGGTATAATGTTAGCCTCCATAGCATGCCAAAAACTGGGGGTCTTCAGGGTCTTTGAGAGCTTTTATGTGCTATTTTCTGATTGCATATAAACAACATAGCCGGCCTGGTTGAATTACCCCCGTTTTTGGAGAACTGGCATGGGCTAATCAGAAAACAGCCGAAGACCACCAAACACCCAGTTCTATAAGCCTGCTACGGAGGCTAGTATAATGTCACGTAGGCACTGATCGACCTTTTGTGTTTGACGGAAATATGGCAGCCTGCCAAAAGTCTGTCCTACATGTGGGGCGAAGGACGGGTAACTTTGCCTCAAATGGGTTAGAGTTGGGGATCAGGCACGGCTCTGGATAGTCTCCGGGTATCCAAGAACGTCTTGATTTGCCCCAAGCACGGTTCTGGATACGCGTGGACTATCCAAAACCGTGCCTGAGCATGGTTCTCGATAAAGCACGGTTCTGGATACAACTGGATACAAGCAAATGTTGTGAGAGGAACTTATATTTTTTTTTTCGTAAGAAATGCTACCCTTCTGTTGTCCAGATATGTCTTGTTGGAGACTAACATTTGCTGAACACTTCTTTCAAAGCTACTAGACCGAAACCGCGCTTTCAAAACAAACACTTGCATTTGCGCCCCTCTATTCGGGTCAGTGACATGAAATCGTTACTATTGTATTTCAATATTTGGCTATGGGGAAACCTGCTTGAGAATATGTTGTATTATGTATAGAATTCGAAAGGTTTGAATATATCCTTCTTACTCCTACCTTTTGTTACAATTGCAAAGATAGACAAGATTTGACGATGAAAAACATTGTATTATTTTCATATTTTTCTTCGATTTGCTTCGTTCTAATATGGAAACGAAGCGGTCCCTCGTTTCGTAAAACAGGTTTTTCACGGTATAATTTTGTCATTTTGTGTTACAGTACTATCTACCGAATGATTAAATATTCAAATTTCTAAGCGTACGCCCCAGAGAACAGCATACTAGTACGCGCCAATTCTCCCTATAGGGCCCCTGTCCTTATGGGGTAATGGCCGTATTGTATATCATAGCGCGTAGTGAGTTCGTGTGAGATATCAGTTTCTCGGTGAGAGCCGGGTTATTTAAGGACATTGTGACTAAAAAATAATCTCATACTAGCAGATCCCTCTCGGTGGCAAAAAAGACAGTGTCAAATTGGCCAGGCAGTATCCATTAGCCAGAGAAGGTCGCCGGCCACCGACGGGGTCAGGAACAAAAAAAACAAAAAAAAACGACCATATATAAAAATGTAACGTTAACGATCATTCCTCCACAACCTCTGCTCGGGAAGTAACTAAAAGAGTGTCCTAAAAATCTTGGGGTAGATTTATTCGGGCATTGCTGCATTTGTATCATTTTCCGACTAGAATTATCGTCGTCAACATAACAATAACGTTTTAATGGCGTCCTATCTGTCTTTTATATTAAAAAAAGAGAGAGATATTCGTATGCTAACGTCTTCATTCATAGAAGCAGCTGGTATTTCCCAGAGGACCCCTCGCTCGCGTTTTCTCCAACGAATATTCATACGGAGACACAGTCGCTGGGTACATTCAGGGGTTTATGTGCTGTAAACGCACCTGCGTAGCCGCAGGTCATTCTCGGTTCAGTGGCCTCCGGGCCGCAATATGGCGTCATGCTAAAATCTACAAGCAGATGTCTGGTGGGTCGCTATGGTGCCATGTAATAGCCTCCAAGCAGAAATTTAGGGGCTGTAAAGACATTTTACAGATATCAAATTCAAAATTGGCCAGACAGTATCCATTTGCCAGACAGTATTCATTTGCCTGGCGTAAAAAAAAAGATATACCACAGTCAGTACAAAAGAAAGAATAAAAAAGCCCGATAAAAAACATGAAAACACGTCAAAACTAAGTCCAATGCTAAACCCTTTGCTTGTAGACTAAACTTGCAAGGCAGTAGCACTTCAAGTACCTTAGTAACCAAAACGTGCTTTTGTGGAGAGGGGCAATATTGTAGTGCACTTTGAACCAGGCAGGACAATGGCCTTGTCGGATGTTTACCAACTGTCTGGGCGCTCAGGTCAGCTACCTCCGGAGCTCGTGATACGAATCAGAGAGCGGCCATGCATCATGATTGATAAATTTCCTAACGATTTATTGATTAATCGGTTAAATCTTCGATTGTAAAAAAAATCTGTTGATATTACCAAGGTCGATCTTGCCCTGACTGAGCGGGTCTCTAATGTTATAGATATCAGAGTTATCAAGAATTGAGGTGTTCAAAAACTCGTATTTTCCAACAACTATCGCAGAGTGGATCTCATTGCCACCAAGCATAGTTGGGGCATCATCATTATGTAACAAGTCGTTCGGTGTGATATAGCTAGCTGCCGCCGCGCCGCGTGCCTGCGAAGCTGGTGTGTTACGCCGAGGGGCGGTTATACCGGCTGTACAGATACAGATATTTACTTATTGATTGATTGATTGATTGATCGATTTATTAATCGATTTATTGATCGATTTATTGATATAAATATATCCCCAGGATCTATCCCGCCCTGGCTGGCCGGATCCCTGATGCGGACCGGGCCGGGAAAGTTCGAGGTGGGGAAAGAAGCGTACCGGTACTGGTTCGACGGGCTGGCGATCGTGCACAAGTTCAACATCAAGGACGGCAAGGTGAGTGGATGGTTCTACAACAATTTAGACAAAAAAACAAGGAAAGAAATGAGAAGAGAAACAAGAAGCTAGTACAGAAGCAAGCAAAGGTTAGCAGTAAAATTAACAACAACAAAAAAACAGCAAAGAAATAAGAAAAATCAAATTATTTCCGACGACGAAAGGTAAGAAGTAACTTCACAGAATTTGAGATGATATGAAAGGAAATTTAAAAACTAATTTATGACGAAGCGGTGACAAGACAATAGGTGCAAAAATGATTATAGAAAACAATAAAATAAACCATGTCTTTTTATACAGACTTTGTTAAAATGAATTAATCAAACCTGACATCGTTTGATACGAGTTTCTTGTGATGAGACGTCATCATAAATTATTTGCACTTTTCTCCTTAACCGCTAGGTGACGTACCAAAGCCGCTTCCTGGAGACCGAGGCCTACCGGGAGGCGATGAAAGCCCAGCGGATCGTCCTGTCGGAGTACGGCACCATGGCCTACCCCGACCCGTGCAAGAACATATTCGCGCGCTTCTTCTCTTACTTCTTCCCGCCAGACATGAGCGATAACGACCTGGTGAACACGTTTCCGATGTCGGACGAGTTTTTCTGCGTGAATGAGACCTACAGATGGACCAAGCTCGATCCCAGGACACTCGACACTCTAGGACAGGTAAGCATGTTTACCTCCATGTTTTTGCTCCGTTTCTTCTTCTTCTTCTTCCGTTCTAAACAAATAAGGTAAAAGAGGTAAATGCGTGAACGAGACCTACAGATGGACCAAGCTCGATCCCAGGACACTCGACACTCTAGGACAGGTGAGCGTGTTTACCTCCGTGTTTTTGCTCCGTTTCTTCTTCTTCTTCCGTTCTAAACAAATAAGGTAAAAGAGGTAAATGCGTGAACGAGACCTACAGATGGACCAAGCTCGATCCCAGGACACTCGACACTCTAGGACAGGTAAGCATGTCTACGTTGGTGAAGGTTAGACATCCAGGTAATAAGATACGCTCCCCCCAAAACAAAAAACAAAAAAACAGTTACTCAAGCAACTAGATATGATTTTGGGAACGATCAGACGTTTCAGGTAGTATCCACTACCTTTCGTCAGCGACACTGTCATTTTTGCATCGTGTTTCCTGCTCTGTTTCTTCTTCTTTCGTTCCAAACACATAAGGCAAATGACCTGGACCAGCCGATTGTCACTATGGTAATTGGAACTATATATATATATATATAGCCACCTTTGTGGACCTTCAAAATATTTCACAATATTGCCATCGTATATTAACTTTCGTCTCATATGTATGCTTTGATCTATTGCAAAAGGTTTTGTGTACGGTCCTACCTGTTCTTAGTCTTCTGCATACTCTGCTATTTCCCTTCTCAGATCGACTTGACCAAATACATCGCAGTGAACGCGCTGACGGCACACCCCCACCACGAGCCGGATGGTACAGTCTACAACATGGGCTCGTCCTACAGCTACAGGGAGGGGTGTCAGTACAACATCGTCAGGTTCGACCCTGTGGACAGAAAAAAGTGCGGTAGGCAAAAGACATTTTTTCCTATTCCAACATGTATCACAAGACATGGTGACGGCATACTCAAGTTTATTTCAACTTATTTTTATACCGCCACCAACGCAGAGGACGAATACAGGACAGGGCAATACTTATTTTCACTTAAGTGAGGAAACTCGTGTAAAGTGCCTTTCCCAATGGCACAAGATCGGTGGCATGTCAGGACTCGAACCCGGGACCTCTTGGTTCCGAGTCGAGCACGCCAATTAATAGCAAGCGACCCGACCTATAACGTTGAAACACGTCTTTTCTTCCCAGGTCCTTTTTAGATATTAGTAATGATGCTAGTGATGATAATGATAATTAAGAGACTAGAAAATCGCGAAGAATGGGAAAATACGACAACTTATAACGTTGAAATACGTCTTCTCCTAACGTCCTGGTGGCGTCGGTGGTGCAATGGTTAGAGCGTTGAACTAGGAGCCGTGTTGGTCCCGGGTTCGATTCTCACTATGCCCCAATGTCCCCTACGACTTTAGATTACACTATCCTCCTTTCCCTGACGGTGGAGTGACGCCCACCGAGCCTCTTTCGCTAATCTGTTAAAATATACGTACATATGTGTGCCAAAAACATACTACGGATTTGGTGCGCCAATGTGACAACATCTACACATTTGCCACCAAGTTAAGAGCCGTAATTTTTTTTAGGTCCCGAGGCTACAGTCCTGGAGAACGCATCTATCGTCTGCAGCATTCCCGCCAGTTTCAGCCTGAGCGCCTCCTACTACCACAGCTTCGGCATGACGCAGAACTACTTCGTCTTCATAGAACAGCCGCTCTACATGAACATACCCAAGGTATGTATAAAGTTAAAACTTTTGGTCCAACAGAAAAAGTTCTCTCACCTAGAGCTTTCGACCAGTCACTCTGGTCTTCCTCAGTAGACTGACCCAGTGAGACTTGTCACGTGGCTTCTCTGATAGTCCAACTGGTCTCCCCGAAGGTGCTCATGACGCGGGATGCTTTGATTGGTTAGATTTAAATTTTCAGCTTCCTTCTCCGCAGATCCTATTGGCCAGAATCCAGGACGTGGGCGTGACGGAGTGTTTTGATTGGCACACGGAGATTCCGTGTCGGTTCGTGGTGGTGCGGCGCGAGGACGGGGAAATCGTCTCAACAAAATACCTAGGTACGAGACCTTAATGTTCTTAATGTTAAGATCTTACAGCAAGCCAAATAAACTGAACAAAATACTCCGGTACGAGACCCATAAACCAGAAAAAACCCATAGGATTATGAACTCGCAACTACATGTAACGTTATGCTCAATTTTACTTTTTGATACCGTAGCAAGTTGTGCAAAGAAGTACTTTATACTTGCCGTGAAAAACGTCATTTCCCACAACAAAATGAATTCTTGATATTTGAAAGTTCAGTTTAATTCAATCAACTGGCATGTACACAGAAATTGCAACAGGAAATTTGTTGAAAGTTACAAAGATACATATAATATAAAACGCAATTAAAGAACGAACGAAAAGCTCTCGACGTTAATAATACGATTAAAATCGTAAAATTGAAATCTAACTAACAATTAGTTCTCTCTAGTTTGCATGACTCAAAATCCTTTCCAGTCAGTTTCATACCCTTACTTAGCGATCACTACTTTTTATATCTGATCGGTTTGATTTCCTGTCCTGCAGCCGACTCGTTCTTCAGTTTCCACCACATCAACACGTACGAGGAGGACGGCCATCTTGTCCTTGACCTCTGCTGCTTCGAGGACGCGCGGATCGTCAAGCTGCTGTACCTGTCGCACCTGCGCAGACCGGACGACGAGAAGTCCTTCCCAGAGCCGCAGTGTCGACGGTACTGTCTGCCCTTACACCTGGGACAGGTAGGTGTGTGTGTGTGTGTGTGTGTGTGTGTGTGAGTGTGAGCGTGTGTGTGTGTGTGTGTGTGTCCGTCTGTCTGTCTGTGACCCGACTAACCTAGGACAGTCCTTCCCCGAACCGCAGTGTAGACGGTACTGTCTGCCGCTCAACCTGGGACAGGTGAATGAATGAGAGAGAGAGAGAGAGAGAGAAAGAGAGAGAGAGTGTGTGTGTGTGTGTGTGTGTGTGTGTGTGTGTGCTTGTGTGCGTGTGTGTGTGTCTGTGTGTGTGTGTGTGTGTGTGTGTGTGTCTGTCTGTGTGTATTGTCTGTGTGTATATGTGTCTGTGTGAGCGTTCCTTGCATACTAGCCACACAGTAAAAAAAAGGGACAATTAACTCTTAGATTACGCATATGTTTTCTCGTATGCATTATATTACAATTGTTCCCTGGTCCCCAGATATGAAAAGGTGATATTATGTAACACCAAGTAACACATAGTTTTGTGACCACC